GGGGATGATGGATTGACCTTCTCAGCAGGCAGGGGCCCAGGAAGGTAGAAGAACCAAAAAGCACTGGATAGGTACCGCTCCTGAGAAAAGTGCTTTATGCCGTTAAGTAATACCAAATTGGGCTTTATATGTGAAGTAGAGTCTATCTTTAAGACTTAAAAAAGACATTTACCACCTATTTCTGCTTAGTGCTTTACTTATGCGATTAAGCTTCCATTTCATGCACAAATGAATTATGCAGAGAACGCCACAGCTTAGTTTCAGCAGGCAACACAGTGGCCGAGCTAGTGCCTTCCCCATTACTCTAGTGTCAGTGCACAAAAGAATGTTGGATGCAGCTCTGGCAGATTAGCAAATTCGCTCTGCTGCTATTACCTCAAGTGTTGCCAACCTGTCAGGGAGATTCTAAAACCCCAGGTTTCAGAGGGTGGCAGGGAGGGAGCAGGCTGCTTTCTGAGCCATCCTGGCCTCATTGACTACTAAGTTCCACGGGAATGTTTTGCTTTCTGGGGACATAAGAGGTCACTATCTGAGAGTCCGTGGTTCCTTCCTTGGCAGCAGCCCCCCAGGTGAGAATCCTCAATTTCACAGTATCGGGTAGCAGCTAGATGTGGCAGGTCCCAGCAGAACCTCTGATTTCTTAGGGAAGTGCTTTATATTCCCAGAACCCAGGGGCACATGCTCACCCTTTTTAAAAGGGACAGTTTTAGAAACACAGACTTATGTCTTTGTCTCTACTCCTAAATGACCAACTTGTCCTCAGCTTTCAGGTAACACTGGAGGATAAAAAAGCTGTAAGACCTTTCACCCGTCTTATTCAACAATCCCCCTAGATCCTGGCTTACCTTACTGACTCTGGCTTTAGAGGAAGGCAGGGTATGCAGGAGCTTTATGACCCAATCTTAGTGGCTCCAAATAGCCCCTCATCTAGGCTTGCCACACGATCTGAAATTCCCTCATGTGAGAAGTTGCCTTCTGGGTGAAGGTTTGCATCTTCAGGAATCCTCTGTTAAACTTCAGATAACTCCAACCATGATTCTGTATGAACACTTGATAGTCACTAGCATCTCAGGCCTTCTCAGCAGTTGGGCCTTTCACACACCCACGGCTCCATAAAAACACGCCACTCAGGTGTTTCCCTGATTGACAGCAGCATCCACGCTGCTCACTCTCTCTGCCTCTCCAGCTTTGCCCACTGCTTCCCACACCGTATTGAGTATTTCTGCCTTCTGATCCATGCTGCCACTTCCCTGTTGAAGGTTTTTTCCTTACATCTCCAATTGATCCTTTGCATTCTCTCTCAATCTCAGCCCAGAATGTTTACCCAGTCACCCTGCTCTAGATTATCCTGGTTAAATACCTGGCTGGTTACCTGGGATTGTATGCTTCTAAATGCACCGCATCTTTGCCTGGCAGGGGAGCCAGTACCTCAGGGTTGATTAGCAGGGCTCTCAGGGAGGCTCATGGGGGACTCTGAGAAAGGCCCCTACTGAGCAAAAAGCGTTACCAAAACTGAAGGTGGAGGACCCCCAAAGGCAATCTCTAGTTCTCCACCAAGATGATTATAATCCTGGCTCATAGACTTCAGCTGTGTTAGTGAACCCTAGGATAGTCACTGAATTACAGAGGATGACAGCTGGAAGGGACTTTTCTCTTGCAAGGCCAAGAGGTGAAGGGCTTTGACCAAGATTCCAACATCAGCGAGTGGGCAAGCTGGACTCGGCCATCAGTGCCCCTGCTGCTGCCCCTCTTCTCTGTTACTCTCAGGCTGCAGGTCTTTCAGGACAGCACTATCTTATGTGGACAACAGCCCATGCTGGCCCTGAGATACAACAATGACTGTACAGAAGGAGAGAGACCTGGGCTGCCTGTACAGGATGACACTCAGATGACAGAGGGAGCTAGACTCTGCCAACGTATATAAATCAGTTTACCTAAGGGTGGGGACAGGAAAGGCTTTTGATTAATTGATGCCCTTATTCTCCATGTGATTGTTACCTTGCTCAGAATAGCCCATGAAACATTTTCTGCCAGGCCACCCCAGGAACCTGAGTTGGATCATAGGCATTTATTCACCTATCTGATGAACATTTTGGGGTACCAGTAGTGTGCCTGGCTCAGTACTAGGCATTGAAAATTTAACAGCTAACAAGACAGTTGAGGCGTTTGTACTAAGAGGGCTTTCAGGCTAATGAAGGATACAGATAAATCATTTACTACACAGATCAGTGAGTGCTATGATACGGAGAAGTGCAGAATATTATGAAAGGGTAAAACCAGGATACTTAGGAGAAATGAAAGGAAGTACTATTAATGATTACATCAGGACAACAGGTGCAAACCAGGACTGACCTGGGCAAGCTGGGACACCTGGTCACCCTAGTTATGGAAATAAAGAGGAGGGAAAAGTCAAGAAGGGAGGGGAATCAAGGAAGGCTTCTTAGAAGAAGGGACTTATAAGCTGATTCGCAATAACTTTCTTACAGTGAGAATTCCCACAGTACATATTGATGAGAGAAGTTACATATAAATGAGATTCAGAATTTAGTTTCATTCATTTTACCCATTAACCATGCAACTGATTTTAATTTATCCCATATCACTTCCTTCCCCCAGGCAACTCACACCACAATCAGATGATCTCTCAATAAGCTTTCCCCATCTTCATGTTTCAGAAAACAAAGCCATTTCTAGTAAGTACCAGGCGCAATTCCACTAGTTCCAGAAGCAGCTCCTGACTCTCTAGGATGGTTAAAATTTCCTCCCTTTATCCAAGACAAGGAGTGTTCAGAACAAAACCTTTTTTCCAAGCACCAGACAATGTCAATTTTTCCACCTGCTCAATGAAGTTTATGCTCTTGGTTGAATCAATGCTTTCCTGTTTTCTAATGTGGCTTCTCACCTCTTTTACCCTCTTCTCTCTTGTCTGGCCTTTATGTCTCTTGTCCCCAAGGCATGTCCCAGATGTTTTCCCACTGTTGTTCTATTCCCTGTCACTCATGTCCTGACTCACTGCCATATTAGTATTCTCCAAGTCCACACTGGCATCACTCATCTATGAGACATCCTCATCCATAGCAAAAAAAAAAAACAAAAAACCCAAAATACAGGTACCAGTGGAGAGAAAGGGCCCATTCACTGCAATGCTCTGCTGGGTTTTAAACAGAATTATTGATCAATTAAGTCCCTCAAGAGGTAACATTGGCTGTGGAGCTGCTGGTTACAGCTATGAGATAATAAAGAATTAAAATGAGAGTCCAGGCCGGGCACGGTGGCTCACGCCTATAATCCCAGCACTTTGGGAGGCCGAGGTGGGTGGATCGAGACCATCCTGGTCAACAAGGTGAAACTACGTCTCTACTAAAAATACAAAAAATTAGCTGGGCATGGTGGTGTGCTCCTGTAGGCTGAGGCAGGAGAATTGCTTGAACCCAGGAGGCGGAGGTTGCAGTGAGCCAAGATTGTGCCATTGCACTCCAGCCTGGGTAACAACAGTGAAACTCCATCTCAAAATAAATAAATAAATAAAAAATAAAATGAAAGTCTGCTGAGATGCCATGTAAGATAGGGTCTGGTGGAGAAAGCCAGTGGCCAGTTGATACGATGAGAAGATAATTACAAACAGCCAAGATCTCTCATTATCTTATGTAAACTCAGCCTAGGCCATAATGCCTTGTCTTCTAGACCACTTTGATCTGGGGAGGTCTAGGAGACTTCTGAGAGCACTAAAGTAAAAGTTGGAAATAAGCAACTTTCACATCATAACAGTATCACTCAACCCAAGCGAATTTATAATTTGCTATTTGTAATTAGTCTTGCCCTAAAGACTGGCTTTATACATCAGTGAGGTAGGTTCCCACAGCGCTTCATGGTAACCGCCTTCATGCAACTGAAATTAAGATCAAGTAGGCAATAGAGTGTCAGTGAAGTCGAATTTGTTCTAAGGGATAGCTTTTCAACTCAGCCACATCAGCGAGGGTGCTTGTGGTGGGGTAGGTGGAAGGAGAGGAAAACAGAGATGGTGGAATTGATTCAAAAGGAGATACAGAAAACGACTATAGAGGAAAGGGCTTTGAATAGAATGGGAAGTCTTCCATACACACCGTTAAACACAGAAAGTAGGCAGTATCCTAACCAACACCTTGGGAGACCCCAAAAGCCCTGCCACCATCAACAAAGACATGACAAGCAAAAAAGATTTCACAGAGGCTTTCCTCTATGACAATTGGGAGTTGTCCCCTTTGAGGATTCTGTGGTGTGGGGGTGAACACTGGGAAGCTCAGACCCCACCCCAGTGCTGTCACCCCACTGCCAGTTGTTCCTCATCTTAATCCTACTTCCTGGCGGTCATTTTGAAAGCATCGGAGCTTTTGACACAGAACCAAAGGTAAACCACATTTGCCATAAATGTGGGAAGTATCTTTGTAAAGTGGGGCTTCTCATGGGAGCAGTTTCTGTTGGACACTACCTTGCAAGTAGAATAAAACCCGGGTGTCTCCAGCTGGCAGAGGGATGTGGCAGGAACCGTTTCACCCCTAACAATTAGGGGTGAAAATTGAAGATGAAAGAGGAAAGTGATGTATGACTGATGGACCCTATGTACATAAGCAAGTGTCTTCTGTACATTCAACACTGAGCAGGTACAGACAGACACTGAGAAATCCACAATCTGCTCTCATTCCTGATGCCCAAAGGAGGCCTTTCTGGTGAGTGCCAGACTAGGGTCCAGCAGACTCAGCGTCAGAATTAGAGGAAGAGGAAAAGGCTCCAGGTCTGGAAGATCACAGACCGTCCCCAGCCTCTCCTCCTCCCTCCCCGCCATCCTTAGAAAGAGGGATTGGAGTTAGCACAGCCCTAGAGGGACATTATAGCCGAATATTCTTTGTAATTGGCTGTATTGAAGCTTTGTGTCGGCTCACAGTTTATCCTCAAATGTGAATTCGGTTTTTCTCAACTAATCCTTTTGAGTGTCCTATTAAAATCCTATTTATAAATTATAAAGAGAAGGTTCCCCAGTGGAATACACCACATTTTTATTCCACTTGCAAGGTAGTGTCCAACAGAAACTGCTCCTATGAGAAGGAGCCTCAAAGACCTCCCATGTTTATGGCAAACGCGATGAGGAACAACTGGCAGTGGCGTGACAGCACTGGGGTGGGGTCGGCATAATGTGAGCCTCCAAGGCCAGGTGTCTCCAGCTGGCATGGGGACACGGCAGGAATAGGCTGCTGGTCCCTAAGCCAACATCTGTGTCAAACTCTGGGGTCAAACAGGGTGATTGCGGTCTAAAATATGAAGGATTTAAAGCCATTCATACCATGATTTCTGGTTTATTATCCAGGCTTGTATTTTCTGTGGAAGGGTTGATGGCTTTGGTTTATGAGAACCAATTAACTCATGACAGATTCCTGGAATGCTATTCTTATTCTCATTCTCGTCTCTTCTCTTCCCCACCATCCGTGTCTCTCTCAATCTCTCTCACATGTGCATGTGCATGCACACACACACACACGCACACACTCACACACATACACACACTCGCACACATACACACATGCACGCACACACTCACACATACACATACACACACGCACACTCACACACATACACACACTCACACACATACACGCACACACTCACACACACTCACACACATACACCCACATACACACACTCACATACACACACATACACGCACACACACATACACACACTCACACATACACCACACATACACGTACATGCTCACACACACGCACACACTCACACACATACACACACTCACATACATACACACACATACACGTACATGCTCACACACATACACGCACACACTCACACACATACACACACTCACATACATACACACACATACACGTACATGCTCACACACATACACGCACACACTCACACACATACACACACTCACATACATACACACACATACACGTACATGCTCACACACATACACGCACACACTCACACACATACACCACACTCACATACATACACACACATACACACACATACACGTACATGCTCACACACATACACACACACACTCACACACATACACACACTCACATACATACACACACATACACACACATACACACACTCACACACATACACGTACATGCTCACACACATACACACACTCACACAGACACATACACACATACATGTACATGCTCACACACATACACGCACTCACACATACACATACACACACATACACGTACATGCTCACACACATACACGCACACACTCACATACACACACTCACACATACACGCACACACTCACACACACGCACACTCACACACATACACACATACCCGCACACACATACACACACATACACACACATACACACATACACACATACACACACACATACAAACACACTCACACACACACATACACTCACACAGTCACACACACACACACACACATATACACACACACGCCACAAATTTTATGTCTCTTCCCTAACAATTGGAACATTGTGGACTAGAAAATGGGCATCTGAAGCAGGAACATAGCAGGACGGAGAGAATGGGGTCACAGGCTACTTGAACCATTCATCACATGTCACAGCCAGACAACTTGGAATCCATCTAGCCGGGTAGTCTTCTCACAGCTGAGGAAATTGAGACCCAAAGATGGAAGTCAGTAACACTGGTAGTCTATGACTTTCTTGTCAAACATATAAACAAACCCCAAACTGACTGTAAACCCTGCAGCGCTCACCTAAAGCTGCGATCAGGACAACATCCTTTGCACCTGTGCTCTGCATACCTGAAGAAGGCTACCACATCCACTGTGGATTCATCCTAAGCCATGGTTTTCCTTAAAAGACAAGGGGAAAAGATGAGGCCAGTCACTGATCCCAGAGTTAACTTTCCAAGGCACTTCACTAAAGGTCATCTGGCCCTTCACGTGACTAAGGAAGAAAATGGGAATCTGAAGCTGTGATAGGATCTCAAGAGAATCCCATAGTCATCTCTGGAAAGCCTGGCTGCAGCCAGGTCCTCATTCTCGAGCCCTTTATCTTTCTAGTCCAGGCCTCCCTGCTCCACTGTCGGGGTTAACCTCCAGCTCCAGTCCAAGCTCCATGTTAGCCTCCCGGTGATGAAATCAGAGCCTTTGCTTCAAGCCAGATTAGCTCTTGAGAGAAAAGGATACGGTAACGGAGGAGCGTATGACCGAAGGCCCAGGCACCAAACTTCAACCTCAAATCTCTCTTCCTTCTGCTTAACACAAACCCAAGCCACAGAGGAAAGCGATGATGAGGTCACTACATTCCTGATGGATACAGAGCGTCTTTGTCCCAGCCAGCCAAGCCTCTGGCTCCACTGACTCAGGCTGGCAGGATCAAGCTGAACATTCTCTCCCTACTAGAACATGAGCATTCTCAGAGTCTCTGAGGACACAGCCACAGAAAACTACGAACACACAGACCCACAGAGACATTGCACATGCACACACACACGCACATGCACAAACACACCCACGCACCCCACAGCTGGGTGGGAGCAAACACTGAAGAATAAATATACCTGACACACAGCCCAACTTGATCTCCAGAAGGAAAAGTTTCCAATATTGCTTGAATCCACGAAAAGCAATGTCTTGTGGCTTGGTAATTTCTAATGTCCTCAGTTTTCTTCTCCGTAAAATGGGAATGACAATACTTACCTGGAATGATTGCTGTGAGAACTAGAGAAAAATATAAAGCCCCTAATTTAGTATCTGGACATACATTAACATTTATGCTATTGTTATTATTATTTGTTGAAGTATCTTTCCAGCTCACAATCATTCCTCCTTTCTCTGATAATTTTCTTCCTATCCAGAAAGATGGATGCCCCCTCCACTCCAGAACCCCACTGGCCAACTCTATGGGAAAAAGAATGCCATCAGGAGGTATAGGACTTGAAATGGGATAGGTTGGAGGCTCTTCTCTACAAATTTGGAAATGGGACAAAGAGGGGAAATAAGCCAGCCAGGTGTCTGGGACTGTGACAGGCAAGCTTGAGGATTGTGGGCAGCCATATTGTACGGTATGGACTGGGAAGCAGAGGAAAGAGGTCTTAGGGAGATAAACAGAGACACACAGAGAGGGAAGACAGCATGCTGGCAGCACGCACTTCCATTCCTGGGGCCTAGCTGCATTCTTTCTTTGGCTACTGCAAAGCAAGCCTTAGGATACATTTCCCTTGTTTTCCTTAAGCTAGCCTCAGTTGGTTTCTGTTACTTGCAACCAGTTTGTCCCCACTAGAAAATGATGATGGTGTTGATGATGATTGATGAAGATGATGAAGATGACATCACTGCAATGATGCTTATGTGCCCATGAAGATATCTTTAACCTCTGTACCCCTAATGCTACTTAAGCATGTGGCTTTGTGTCTTTCTTAAAAAGATAATGAGGCTGGGCACGGTGGCTCACTCCTGTAATCCCAACACTTTGGGAGGCTGAGGTGGGCGGATCACTTGAGGTCAGGAGTTCAAGACCAGCCTGGACAACATGATGAAACCCTGTTTCTACAAAAATACAAAAAAAAATTAGCTAGGCACAATGGCAGGTGCCTATAATCCCAGCTACTCAGGAGGCTGAGGCAGGAGAATCGCTTGAACCCAGGAGGTGGAGGTTGCAGTGAGCTGAGATCACGCCATTGCACTCCAGTCTAGGTGACGGAGTGAGGCTCCATCTCAAAAAAAAGAAAAAAAGAAAAAATGATATAGTCAACCTGAGGGCAATCAGCAAACCTTTGTCTGGGCCATTCTCACTAAACATAAACATAAGGAAGGAGGAGGAGGTTGACTGGAGTGAGGACAAAGACGACTGTCTGATTCTCATCTTTCTGCTGCAAGTCTGCTTTGGAAGGTACCTGGCTTACTAAACACTGCAGGGCCCTTTGAAACTCTTTACCTCGGGAAAATAAACTTTCTGAGCTTCAGAAATGTTGAATAGTACTGTCATTGTGATCAGTTGTATGAAAAACCGCAAACGCACGGTTGAGTACTCCATGGGTGGTAGCTATGATTACTAAGCTTCTCTCAAGTTGTGACCAGCGCACACAGAACCTCCTAGTACCCATTTCCAGGGTTCCTTTCATACACACTGTTAGCAAATGTAAGGGGAAAGGAGCTTTTAAGCAGAAGGGTAAGGGGAATTCTCTCTTCGTGCCGCTGGTGTGATGCAACCCTGGGATGAGAGTGTTGTTGAGAAGCCGCAGCCTTTGGAAGGCCCGATTGGGCTTCATCTAAACCATCCTTGGCAGGCACGCTCCTTCCTCTATCTTTGGGCATCCACATTTACTGGTAGTCGACATGTTACTAGGTACTCTGGGAAGATATAAAAACAAGTCAAAAATAGAACGCCTGGTCCCTCCTACTCTCAAGAAGCTTATAATGAGTGATATTTTTATAAAACAACATAAGCACCAGTTAACGTGGCACAAACGAAGAGTCTGCCCACTCTAGAGGTGCTGAGGAGAGAGCTAAGCAGATTAGCCATGTTCTGAACCTGGGTTTGAAGGGATAAAAGAGCTCAGAATGATGAGACAGCATTGGGAGGGAAGAAACAAGAGTTCAGAATGAGTAACATTCTTCACATGCCAGTCAATTACTCAAGAGAGGATACACCTAGGCAAGGAGAAGCTTGGGACAGAGAGAGAGTGAGCCTGCAGCCCTGAAGATACAGATTCTCAGGTTATCTAAGGGTGGTTGTGTCCTGTGAACAAATGAGCGCCCTAACACAGAAGGTTTCAGCCTCGTTACACATTGGAACCACCTGGAGGGCTGTAAAAAATACACATAAATGCTTTGTCGTATCCACAGAGAATCTGATTTCATTGGTCTGGGGTGCTGCCCGGGAATGAGCATTTATCAAAGCTCCCCAGATGATTCTAATGAGAACCACTGCCCTCCCCAATGAAAGTGAGTGGGATAGGGCAGGCAGCCTGGGTGTTTTTTTCTTTAACAATGTGAATGAGCTGCATGTGGGAAGTTGGGAGGTTTGGAGCCAAGGGTGAAGGAGATATTCCCATAGTGACCCAACCTCACTCTTCCTTAGAGTCTATGTTCACTCCTAAGATGTAACTGAGCCAAGGCATCCCTCCAGCACCTCCTCTGTTGCCACAGTGTTCGGACCCCCCAGGCTGACACCCACGCAGTCAGTGCCCAAAGGAAAACTTTCAGTGCCTGTGGCCTGATAGACCATTCACTGTGAGAAAAGGGAGTTCAGCCCAGCCGAGTGGGCGGCACTAGCCTCCGCTGGCTATCAGGACAAAGAGACTGTTGGTGACTGCGGATCTGTGGTTCTGGCTCATTGATGCTGCTCCCCAGGACCGGTATCTTGGCACATGGTGGAGGTGGGGAGGGCAATATAAGGAGAAGCAGGAAAAAGTACGGTTTCCTTGCTTCAAACAGAGGAGTTCTGGAAACCTCTCAGATGCTAACTTATTCCAAACTTTAATGAGCAACCCCAGTGAGCTGCAATCCTGGTATTTTGAGTCTACATCTCAACTCTGGTTAATCTATAACCAGTACCCGCTACGTGAGGCACCCTGTGCTACACATGAACTAATATGGGGGAAGGATACAGAGCCCTCTGCACTTATAGAAGGCTCAATTTGTAGGGCCAGTAGGTTCCTTTCTCTCAGTGACCGCCCCCACACTCACACAGCACTTAACAACGAAGCCCCTGTGGGCATTTCGTACAACGTGGACCTGCTTTGCCCCCTTGGGCAGAGTTGACTGGATGAAGGATGAGGCCCTGAACCAAACTGGGCCAATCAGAGGATTTCCCTAGAAATTAGTGAGAAGGCCTTTATTCTCTCCACATGACAGGTAACTGAGGAGCTACGGGGGCTGTATTTCCTGCTGGGGGATGAAGCAGAGGAACTTGATCCTCACGATTCATCAAATTTTCCATCTGACATCAGTACCCACCTGATACCTTCCTACCCTTGGGTTCTATTCATACAAGACATTTGTATAACCTTTTGTATAATAATAAATTATCTTTTAAAGACTTAAGGTGTCTTGAGTTTATTTCTGTTATTTGGAACTAGTCATAAGAAAAACTTACATTTGTATAGTGTTTCTTTATGTACTAGACGCTGTTCTTTGTATTTCTCCATATTGACTGATCAGTTTTCACAACACTGATATGCATTAGGTTCTCTTATAATTTCTAATTTATGGATAAGGAAACTGAGGCACAGGGAGATGAGGTGAGTTGCTAAGATTGCCCAGACTACAGAGTATAAAATAATATAGCCTCCGTGGATTCATATTCAGGTGGTGTTGGTCCATTTGCATTGCCATAAAGGATAATTTACAAAGAAAAAGGTTTATGTGGCTCATGGCTCTGCAGGTTGTATGAGGAGCATGGTGTCAGGATCTGCTTCTGGTGAGGTCTTGGGAAGCTTCCACTCATGGCAGAAGGTGAAGGGGGAGCAGACATGTCACATAGCAAGAAAGGGAACAAGAGAGAAGTGGGGAAGGTGCTACCCTCTTTATAACAAGTAGCTCTCACAGGAACTCACTCATTGCCATGAGGAGGGCATGAAACATTAAGGGTTAGTGAGGGATCTGCCGCCATAACAAAAACACCTCCCATCAGGCCCCACCTCCAACACTGGAGGTCACATTTCAACATGAGATTTACAGGGGACGAAACAGCCAAACCACATCACAGGTTCTATTTATGACCTTCTTATGCAGGTTCTGTCAAAAGCCAGGGCACCCAGTGCACAGTTAGCGTTAACAAAAGAAATTAGACCATATGCCCAAACACCCACAGTTTAGAAGAGGGCACAAGCAGCCCGAGCAGGCCAGGAAAGATTTCTGCAGAAGGTGGGGTAGAGCTGGTCCTGCTGGGGCAGACCAGAATGCAAAGCCTTTCCACAAAGAGAGGACACCCAGCCAACCACGGTGGTGTGGAAGTGACCTGGCATGGGCCAGAGTAGGGAAGAGCCTGGCCTGATTGGAACAGAGGTTGTGAGGGTGTCAGGTCCCATGCAGACATGGAGGCTTTGAGCTGGGAAGATGCTTGGCCTCTGTGGCATTTGGGAACATCCTATTGTGCTGGGAGAGTGGATGGAGTAAGAGAACCCAGTGAGAGGCTCTGTCAGCCCCCCAGGTAAGACCAGGAGGGTCAGATGTGGGGGCAGCGGGAAACGGAGAAGGCTCCGACCCCCGTTTCAGTTCCATTTCCAGACACGCTCCAGTTTGCCTCAGAGGCTCAAAAACCATATTTTTGTTTCTTCTCTCTTTCTACTTAAAGAACCTGCAGTTAAAAGTAGGGGAAAATCGAGTCTGTCTGTCAGTCATCAGTAGGTCACGTAGAT